ATGCTGAAACATGTGTCGCTTATTGTCACCAGTAATAATCATGATGGGGCGACGGCAGTGCCCCGAGTCTTTTTGATCTGTTTAATATTATTAGTTACTAATTAAAATTGAATAATTTAGGACCCCGGAAGCAAAACAGCTCTTTGTTATGAAAGGAATACACCACCCACATGGACAGAACCCCTCATGTAAACCATCTATAAATACCTTTGAAAACAATTTGATTTCGATCTACATCTGAATCTCAGATGGAGAGTACTCTTTGACAATCAATCGAACATAATTGCAATCAACTTCCATGATATTTGCAATTTTGAATTTGCAAACATTTTGAATGCAAATTTACTCAAGTACTATATCCTGAGTTCTGCCCGGATCCCCGAAAACGTTTAAAATCAAACTCGATTATTTAGCTAGACTTCAGAATAAGGGATTCAATAGAAACATGAAATCCATATCACTGCATAAATTGTGGAATTTCTAGTAATTTTTAGACGTGCTTAGCCGGTGTAAAAGGGTAGGAGGTCCTATCAAATTATGGTCGTACTCTCCATTGATTTATATGGTGACCTATTTCCCTTATTGTCTTATACACAATCAGGGCCAGTAAGGGTCGTTAAGAAGGGGGACCATAATCCCTGGGGGACCATAATTTCTTTCACACCGGTCTAGAAACTCGTATCTAGAGATAGAGGAGGGGAGAGAGGGCTAATTTTATAGCTGAAATTAAAAATAGCTTATGATCTATAAATATAATATATAGTTGTTCTTATAATGAACAACTATTGGTTTAATATCTGATATGTGGACGGATATTTCTTGATTTGGTTTAAAAAGAAACTGAATGTAGGGTTGCAAAAATGATGGAGACAAAGACCAGATTTGCAAAATTGGGGGAGTGCATTTTCCCAGGATTTCAAACAATACTATATCTAAAATGTTGCCCCTCATGTATGTTACTGTAATGTGTCACCCTAGACCCCTTTGTACCGTTTATGCCTCAGACATATTTGCTACTCGAATGGTATACTATATCTACGACCAACACCAATCGTTCGGCATTACCCGGGGACACAGTTACACTTCACATTCTTGCATTGCCCGTGTGTCAACCATACGGCGCCCGCGCGGCCAACCTCGTTTTTAAATTTTTGATACACATCACATCTTTCAACTAGAGAGAAGCCCCGGGAGAGAAGCTAATCGGTCTTATAGAAGGCCATGATTTCTTATGATGCATTTCAATGCCTGCATAGAGATTTTTCAAAAATGTTTTCCTAGAACAGCCAGGAAAAATAAATCACATTTTCATTTCCCAGGAACAACATAATCCGTAAGAATCCATTGGCATCATTCATTTACATCTAAAATGTACTATTTTGATGTTATATGAGCAAAAATATTTTGACCAACATATTAAACAATCAGACAGACTGGCTCACTTTATGAAAGGCCATTTGTTTCTTCATCTACAGGATATTTCTATGGAAGTTTACAATCAAGTCAATATGTTTATCTTAGTGTTTAGCATAGGTAAGAATGGGGGATGGGCTGGCGGGGGTCCTTCTTTGAATAATTCCAAGGGGTTCATATATTATCACAATTTTGTTACAAAATCACTTGGAAAGTGCATGATTTGAAAGATTATTTGGCCAAGGCGTCCGCTATTAACATGAGTATGAATTTTATAAAAAAAATTACTTGAATCAAAATCGAAGAATTCCTTGCCCCGTGTGTTCACCATTCACCCCGGGGGTTCACACTCGGCTCAGGTGGGGTACCTTTTTTACATTTGGTATGTCAAGCCAATGGACCCACATTTTAAGACAGATTTTTCCATTTTCTGGTATAAGAATCGGTGTGGAAAATATGTTACCCCTCAATTGTGGTACGGCATTGGTCCCGGGGCATTGGTCTAGTTGTTACACATATCCTTCATTTGAGGTTGTTCATGATCAAATTACTCAAAGATCTGCCTTCTTCTCGGGGCATTCGATATTTCGAATGGCCTTGGTCTTATATTCTGGATATTTGGTACCCGGGGGTATGGCATTGGTTCTATATTTGGACGTTTGACATGGCATTGGTCTTGTGTTTGGACATTTGATATGGCTTTTTGGGGTTTATTTTAGTTTGTATGAGAACACATTTAATGCCACCCCCCCCCAAATTACAAATCTACATCTATTCTCTCTATCCCAAAGGTGGATCGGAAGAATGAAAAACAGATGCAGACTCGGGACAGTTGCAAGGGGGGATATAATGGAGAAATTCGTTTTGATTTTGAGTCTAACTGAAATATTTTGTCACAAATATTAATTAAATACGCAAATAGCCTGTTTTATTAAATGAAACTAGGGCAAAAAATCTATTCATTAAATCTAAAGCCTAGACGATATCTTCTGTAATCAAGGTGGTTTTGGTACACTTCCGCAATTATAAAAACAAAAACATAGACTAAATTATTAATCTTTTGTTATCATATCAGATTAAGTCAGTTTTGTCTCCGATTGTTATGCAGGTGTGTGTATCGACTCCAGTGAACAACATTAAGTGAATCAATCCTTGAAATTCCCAAATTCATTCCAAATTCTGGCCGTTAACCCCCCCCCCTCCCCCATGTCTCTTAATTACATTTATTTTGCAAATGATATATAAATTATAGATTAAAATATTTCATTTTCGAATTGCACAAAGGGCAACATGTGAAGATAAAACCGCGATCCTAAAGCTACTTGCGAAACAAAGTGGTTTATGGTCATCAATATCATTATTATATTAATACCAATACAATGTACCTCTATGAATATCATAAATTCACTCCTTTTTAATATCAATAGTCAAACAAATTAAGTAGTATGCTACAGTTGGTTATCAATCGGAGTTCACGACCTATTGATTACTCTTTAATACAAAATTTAACCATTTTAGAATGGGTAACTCACCCCCCCCCCCCCCCCCGTCCATGTCCATGAAGTGCGTAGACTGACATAATAGTGCCATTTATTAATTAAACATCACTGATTTATGTTGAGACATTCAGTGCGATTATTTCATTTCTTTGTTCAAAAAGTTAAAGCACCAATTAAATACATATTTTTATCACACAAAAGGGGCAGAATACTTGACCTTGTATCAATTCATATCCCGATAATTCTTTACAAGGGAATGTTTCTTATTAAAACATAAGCAGCGCCTAGGCGTCGATTGGGGAGGGGGTCAATCCGGTGTTCTCAGGCTATGTACAGCCAAGTATCATGTTTATGTAAAAACCCTACGTTCCCGAATCACAATCAGACAATTAATTAGTATATTTGCTGTGTCTAGCAATTGATCATAGAATTAGATGTTGCGAAAACTATGGGAACTTGTACCTGTCTGTTTATGTATAGGCTGGGAAAGAACAGCAGAGAGAATGGTACATTCGATTGAATATGCTTGTTTTGCCCAATTGTCATTGTGTATTAAAATGCCCCTCATTTATCATATGTATGGTCACAAGTTAAGTCGGCGATAATTTGTATTGACTTAACTTGAAACAAATTACTCCGAAATCCAAATACTCATCGAAAAGTAAGGTTATCTTTATATTAAGCTAATACAAAATAAATATATAAATAGGCCTGATGTATCAGTGTTTTCAAAGTTTATTGCACGTTTTATCCTTGAAACGCCTTTCTTTTTCTTATCATGATATGTATTTCCTTCACTTAGGATCAATGCGTCGATTAGCATTGCCTGTAACTGATTTATATTTTCAAAAGGCGGCATGAAATTGCCAAAATGTTTAAATAAGTCAATGTGTCAGCGTACATACAAAATAGTCTGTTTAATATTTGCTACATGTACTTGTTCCAAACAGTCTGCGAAAGAATGATTAAAAAATATATCAATTAAAAGTATCAGAGAAAAAACTTGCAATCGTTTAAAATACTGTATGTATTGCTATTGGTAATTAGGTTAGTTGTTTACACATAATTATGTTGTTCAGTGTGCCAAGAGCGTGTCAAGAGATTCCATTAATTGTCACAGGGCGTGCAAAGACTTTTTGACATGGTCTTTACACGTCTTTGCACTGCGTGTGCCAAGAAGTGCAAAGAGGTGTAAAGAGTTGAATTCATCGCGTGTCAAGAGGTGTAAATAATTGGCACGTCTAGAAACCCGGCGTGTAAAGACCAGTTTCTAGACGTGTCAAGAGTTGGAATCCCATATTTCATGCAGTGAAATGGTCTGGCTTCATTGTTCTAGAAGTGCTGTAGTCTGATAAATAGACAAGAACAATATGTTATTGCCTTTGTAATGACATAATAATGAGAGCGTAGTAAGAGCTAGTCATTTCAACAGTTGCTAAGCTGCTATAAGAGAACGATGGGATTGTTGGAATTATAAATCGAAGGGTTGGATTTCTACACAAGTAGCGTTAATTATACACAGCCAATTACGGACACACGGTTTGATTATTCACTGATATAAATACAAACCATTCACACAGAACCGGATCATTGGCTCAGAAAGATCCATGGAATGCATCGCACAATTAGTTTCTTCACACGCTTGGATTTAAAGCCAATCCTGCGGGTCATTGGAAGGATGAACCTTTGATATTAGGCGTCGATTGGAACATTGTGATGCTGATATCTATTGACGATCTATCTGTTTTTATACAGGGTGGGTCAAACACGTCCACTTTTTTTATTCCGATATCACTTTATTGAAAATGCATGGATTTCAATTGGATTTTTGTAGGATATGCAGGAATCGATTTTATAATTGTTCCTGAAATGGGAAAAAGGCTCTATTAGAAAGCGACGAAGCGATAATTTTCAATAAGAATGGTAAAGTATTAATCTGAGTCTTAAAGGACATTGAAAAACACGTTCTTTCCCATTTTCAGGAAAATTTGTAAAATCAATTCCTGCCTATCTTGCGAAATTTTCTTTGTAATTTGAATTACATTGCATATCTAGTATGTTATATCGAAATGTGGACGTATTTTTGCCACCCTGTATATGCAGCATATACTATTCCAATCGGAGATTAAAATCCGACATTAGCCTTAATGCAAGCGTTTCAACAAGACTTGTTCTCGTCACCTCTGATAGTACTCTTGAACGTTTCTTATGGAATACGACATTTGACAATACTACCGATGAGTTAGATAGTTTGATGAAAGAATCGAAATTATTATAACACGAAATAAACATACTCGTATTCACCATTAACCAAACTAAGGGAGAGTTGTAACTTGTAACTGAAATAAGGAGTAAAATGGATCCAAAATATGAAAGCAATGAGACCAACAATTTTAACTTCATGGATTACTTCGAGCTGGACTTTAATTTTTCTATTGATTATTACAATTTCACACCGAACGCTCTTGCTGTCGAGGACTTTTCATCGGCCGTGACTTTTGGAATTATTGCTGGTTTATTGTGCGTTTGTGCAATTCTTATCAACATCGTCAGCATAATCGTGATAAATCGGGTAGTGACAAATTACAGTGCTATTTATGTGTTGTTTATTAACCTTTCAATAGCTGATATGTTATGTGCTTTGTCGACATCTTTAGAAATCTTTCCTCGGCTGATGATTGGAGGTGCTACCTGGTACACGCTGCATCATTTAACATTCTCTGCTCATTGTCACGCGGTCAGCGTCATCTTGTTTGCCACGTTCTACTGTACAAGCGCTTCTCTGTTACTTATCCTCGCAGTTCTGCGATATATCGCCATTTCTCAACCGACACTATACGCTAATGTGTCCAAGAAGTGGCATATGCGAGGTTACATCGCCTTGGCGTGGTTGGCATCTCTCATCATAAGCCTCCCGGGAGTCGCCGCCTTTCTCCATGGTCAAGACATGAACATTTTATGGGACCAAGTCTGGCCATGTCTGCTCGGAACAATCTACGTAATTGTTATATTCCTTTACATTAAAGTGTCGTACGGTCTTTTGCGCTTGTCACAAACGGGGAGATCGTGTACCCAGCTCAAAGAGAACCACAAGGCGTTCGCCACGAGCGTCATACTCATGACAACGCTCATCCTAACCGCCGTACCATACATAACAGTGAAGTTAATACGCTACGACTACTGGAGCGCAACTCTGCAAAAACTTCACAATACGTTTATATGTTATATCCCCTATGTCAACTTTATTACAAACCCAATCATATATGGATGGAGAACAGGGGAGATAAAGAAGGGATACGCGAGGCTTTTGAAGGGATGTTTCGGACGACTGCCAGGTACCACTTTGGACTTAAGTACTCCTGAGACGCAGTATTCTAAAGTTAATCGACGTATGGACAATAAAAATGCAGTTTCGTCGACACGATGCAATACAGACACTGTACAGATCTCGTCATGTTAGTTCTGTGCATACTATTTATGAAAAGATTTACCAAAATTACCTCGTGAAAGATGTTAATTACTAAACAGATAGTAACACTGATTTGAACAGACAATTCAAAACAGACAACATCACTTTATCTGATTATAGTGATCTTATCCAAAACCGGAAATTACGGAGATCCAAAATGGCCAATTAATGTCACCCATATGAATGTCATGTAAAAAATTTCACCTGCAATTGAATACAAAGTCTTGTCTGGTATTCAAATATTTCCTTTCTTATTTTCACCTTTGACTCAGTTTAATCAAGAAGAATTGAAATGATACTTAGGTAAGACAGGGGTAGCTAGGTACATGAGGCCGGTGCCTTGCCAATTTTTTAAAGAAATATGTGGTTTCTGAATTAGAATGTAATCTAATTGGCAGTATTTTATCCAACATTACATTTATCTACGAGATTTCAAGAGAATTTCACGCTAGCCGTTGCGTAGCATGGCGGATTTAGCAATTAACAAGGGGGCCTTTTGAGTCTGGAAAAAAAATTGGGCCCTTAAAACCGAAAATTGGGCCAAAATTTTGAAAATTAAAGTCCATTTTTGATAACCTGGCCAAAAAGACCTAAAAAGGCCTAATTATGCCCAAAAATGCCCATTTTTGAGGTCATACAAAATGTTGGGGCAAAAAAACTAAAAATAATTTCTGGGCCCAGTAAAGAGGGGAGGGCCCCATAGACCCGCCACTGTGTAGTTTGCATGTTTTCTTGTGTTTTTATAAATTCTACATGCTTCCAATGTGCTTTGACTGGCACGGATGAGAATTTTAGTGAGCTGCAGTGTGATGGATTCCTGTATTCTCGTTTGTGGTTATAAGCGTAACCTATATTGCTTGTCAAATATGAACGATTGACATCGTGTAAAAGTCACTTGGGATTTGGAAACCAGAGATTCTAAATTACTATGGAGTGCGACAACACATTGGAAAATATGGAAAACATGTAGAGTAGTATACAAGATAAAATATTTACAAAATCTGATCTAACATCATCACATTGAATTCGAGAGCTGATCGATCAACATCATTTTTCGATACGAAAAACAGCGATCTCAATCAATATTGTACTTCAAACATTTTGTGGTAAAATTATACTAAGCCCGATACGGGATTACAATGGCATCAAGAATGGCTTAACTCTAGGCCATGTCTGAAGGGTAGGTCAGATTGACCCTCTTGATTTTTTCATCAGTACTTTTCTTCAGGTTCTTGTTGTGCCTCTCTATTTTCTTAGCTTGAACCAGAGATAAACAGTGACACATTTTGGCCAAAAACCAAGGTCATTTGGGGTAGCGGGGAGCAAAGTTATGATAGTTGGATCTTGATTTACGCTGTGCATTCGTTTGACTTCGCTTCTTAAAAGAAAGCGTTATCTTTGTAGTTTAACTAGATTCTGCACACAGGGTAAACTTATGCCAAAAAGAATGAAATTCGTAAAATATTGATGGTAACCTTGTTTTTTACTGTAGAAATCGCAAAGTGATGATAACTGCTCTGTCTGATAAATAAACACTTAGCATATTCAATTTTCTTTCCAAGATGCTTTATTTCATGAAAATCGAGCCACTACAGTGCGTATCAAAAAAAACGCAACAGATTGTTATCTTGGAAAAGCACAAAACCAGTGATAACAGCATTGATTTCATCCAATGCATCATAAAGCCATGTGTCTCCTCTTTACAATGATATATCATTCATTGATATTTGGTCATGGTTGTGTGAGTAATCATTCCATTTGCAAAGTGGGCCAAAATTAGCTTTGCGCCAAGTTATAAACATTGCAAAAGTCAGTGTACGGAGCCGATGCAATATTGGACGAAAACATAAAATCAATGCTGACTGCATCTTTTTATTAAATGTACCAAAAAGCCAAATTACTCCTCTTTGAAATGGAATATCATTCATTCACAGGGGGTCATCTCTGGCCGAATAATCATTAATTTTGCAAAGTGGGGCAAAATTCAGCTCGGAACCAAGTTTAAAACATTGCAAAAGTCAGTACAAGGGGCATAGGGGCTATTGGAAGAAGGTGTGACAGGTATGGCATAGACAGTAAAGTGTTCATACTCATACTCTTCCAAGAATACATCCTATACCCCTCCAAATTGCCACCACTTCCTTGCACATAAAGATGCGCTCATCTGTCCACATCATGCATGATTAAGCCCTGAATCATGTGTGGGTTAAAGCATAGAAAAGCAGCCCATGGGCAAATCTTTCTCGAGGTTTTGCAATATCTGGTGGAGGAATTGTGAGCACAGATGCTCCTGAGATAGCTCCAAAAGAAAAAGTCACAACAATTCAAATCAGGGGAACTTCCATTGGCACTTAGCCCTTGCACTGATTTTTTCAATATATAAAACTTGGCGCAGAGCCGATTTTGACCCACTGTGCAAATGGAAGGATTTCTCACCCAACCATTACCACATGTGAATGAATGACATATCATTTCAAAGAGGAGAGACATGGCTTTATGGTACATTAAATGCAGTAAGGTTAAAACTTGGCAAAATGAGGGACATCGAATACAAATTGATTCGAACTTAAAATTGTACTTAAACCATTTTACTCGATTTAGTTATGCCATCTTACCGTATGAAGGCTGCTTGGAATAGGGGTGTAGCATTATGTAATTCTCATAAAACCTTTTTAAGATAGTTTAGAAGAGATTCCTTGGGAGTATTTGCGCACATCCAACTCACTATCCATCCTATCTTTGATAATAGCACCCATATTTTCGGTCATACTCGGGTCAGAGATACTGCATTGAACTTTAGTTTTGGCCAAACACTAAGTTTTGAAATCTCTGTAACTTTTTTTCCATTTATGAGTTGAATTAAGATACTTAGCAAATCAATGCAAATGTGGATGAGCTTTAAAATGATACATAACACATACTATGGAGACATTGGCATATGTCTATTTAGGGGGAGTCCCATACTTTTGGGACACCCTGTACATACGTTAAACTGAGAAGTAAAGCCTGGTAGGGGAGACTGGGGCAAAATGGAACGTGTTTCAGTATTTTACAAGAGAATATAAATGAGTTCATATTCAGCATTACAAACTTGTGTTATATATTTGAAACCCCTTTAGAATGCTTTTGCCCCTGTCACATATTGCTTCGGTCTCCACCATTTCTATTTCAAAATAAGAGTAAAATCAGTATATTGCTTTAGTACTGAACTATCTCTGAAACAGCAAAATTCATCACTCATTACATTTCAGTTGTTATCATCGAGATCCTATATCAAAACCAGATGGAGAAGTCATAGTGCATCGAATTGTTCATAAATCATCTATTTCGGGATACATTGCCAGTACATTTAGATGCATCTAGTAGAAGCTACCACATAATATACGATTCGTATATCGCACTGGGGACACACTACGAACGGAAGTGTCGTACTTCAATCCTACTAGGGACGTATTACGACGTTGTGTAGTCAGGCGTAAATTGCAGCCGTGAGTACCCCAATCTAGTCCGTTTGTAGCTCGTTCATTCTGTTTTTAGACAGACCCAACTCGACCGAATAACGTCCTTCCCGTTTATAAAGGTTCACAGGTTCTCATACAGTTCTAATTATAAGAACGTCCGTGTAGTTCTCGCACAGTCATTAAACTGATTAAGGACGTAATTGAACTGCTTGGATACGTTGTGTAGACGAACGCACAATTTAACCCGATCTAATTTTGATACCAACGTACTGCAGACGGAATAAAGACGAGATGAACGTATTAAAAACTGCTTATGAACGAATTAACAAAAATAGCTATCACACCAGAACCAGTTGTCACTGCGTTCTTCAAAACGTTGCCGAATAGGTTTTAAACTGTGTGCGAACTGAATGAACGTAGCTACAACGTTCTACGGTCTGTTTACGAACTTCATGGACTTTCCCGGACGGGGAATGTGATTTACAATTTTGAATCGATTCAAAATTCGATGGCGACCATACCGTTCTGTAATCAGGTCATGATGACCTTCTAGACTAAGGGATCCGTTATACGACGTTACACCGACGTGGTGCGACCTGAACGAGCTGCGAATGAAATGGACGTATTGAAGACTGTTTATGAACGAAGTAGCTAATTATTTTAGACATATTTCCCGACCACAGCCAGATTGAGCCCATTTTACGACGTTTTCGTAGGACTAGCAAGAACGAGTAAGAACTAGTTTGGTGTGATAGGGGGGTTAGTTGTCTCAATAAGCACCGTACCAGGTATGCTTTCTGGTTGATATCTGGAAGATGAAAATGTTGCAGGGAACCATGTTTATGGTGTAAGACCTTTCCTTTGCAAGTTATTCTGATTAGATTTATTTTCAAATTTAAACCAGATCGAAAGAATCTGTCAGTTCCAGTTATGCTGAAACTGAAAAATGTAAAATTGATTTCTAATTTCCATACATAGTCACACTCAACGGACGTCATATTTAGGGGTAAATTGGCCATGTAGTATCTGAAGTCGTTAAGTGTATTTAACAAATATGTTGTTTTCAGGTTTACAGTTTCCATTGATCTCAATCATCGCTATTCGATTTGTTCGTCTACAGTAACACCCGATCAATCACAATTGAAACCCTTTGGGAAAGGTATTTACTAGATAAATGAAAAATGCTTAGTGATAACTATAACTCAAAGTCCTTTGAAAAACGATTCATCTTGTGCAGAGAATTATGGTTACATTGTTGAAATAGAGGGTTCATAGCTGACATAAAACATATACTTGGCATGCATCAATACATTCTCAGAGGGTTTTAAATAACAGTTAGTATTTGCCTAATGGCCCTCTATTGTAATTATTATTGATTGAAGAACATAATAAAACGTAAACCGTGTAATTGTAAACATTAAGATACGAGACACAAACGTCCAGACTGTTCTTACTTCTGCATTGGATGAAATGATTTGATGAAATAGCAAATGTATTCATGTAAAAACATCAACGTCGTTCTTGAATAGGGATGAACAAGTTTTAATTGAGAAATAATACTGATGTTCAATTTATTAATTATGATTTGTATGATCAATTTATCTTAATGTTCTTTGAGTGCGTCAATAGAATGAACAATACCTTATTTGTATATTAATGCTCAGATTAAATAAGTTGCCTTGCAAGAATACTTATATTTTTTCTTGTTACCGTGTTATATTGCATAATAAAAGTAGTATGAAGAGTACACGTGCTCGCAGTTTAATTAAATCCCTATTCCTCATAGAAATCCCAAAGCTATTTAAAG